GGCCGGTGAGTGTCGCTTGGAGTGATGTCCGCCAGGCTGGCCTAAGGCCAAGCGGGCCTGGGTTCGGAGCTCCGGTGGAAGGGCCCCCTAGAAGCCCGTTGCTTCACCGGGCCGAGGGCCCCCCAAACAGCGGGCAGAGAGAGCGAAAGAGGCCGTGCCCAGTCCACTAGACGTTGCTTTCCCGCCTGGCCCGGAAGGTGGCTTCAGGCCCTGATACTCCGGCGGTGTTGTCCCCGCGGGCCAGGATGTCCGAGTTCTCAGGGCGGGAAGGGGCCCCCAAACAAGGAAGCGTCGCCAGCGGGGCCTGGCCTCAGCCAGATGTCCGACCCCCGACTTTCTAAACGTAGAATGGCTCAGTTCAGGCCTTACCCTTGTCGGAACAAGGATTGAGGAATCATCAAAAGCCATCACCCCTGATCTCTACCAGGCTGCTCCCTTTTTGTGGGGAGCACCTCTTTCCCTCAGCGAAAATTTGGGTCTCAGTGTGCAACCTCTTGATTCCAATCCAGGCACGAAGAGGAGTTCCGTTCTCTTCTCTTTTGGCAGGTCTCTGAACGGCTTCCTTGCCCCTTAGCTCAGTTGGGTTCACAAGTTGTATCTTTTCCCATGAGAAATTCTCCAATGCAGCTCCATACACCCACACCCAGGTTTCAGATTCTCAAATGTTTTGCTTTGTGGGAACCCGGTGAGCAGCCTGGGTCTTCTTTTTTGGGGGGGGGTAAGGGGTTTAGAGTTTTTGCTTGTTTCTGTCCTTTCATTATCTTGTGCTTGCTAACTCGTTGGTGACCCAGAGACAGGTTTTCTTAGCTATTTTAGCTACAGAGAGCAACCATCATTTTGGGAGTTAAGGGGAAAGCTGGGTGCTTTCAATTAAAAACTGTTGATGAAGAATGAATGCATGATTTGTACCCAATTTGTGATTTGTTTGTGTCATTAGAAATTTGTTCGTCCACATTTCCACCTTTTGTGTACTCTTGAACTATGCCACTCTTTAGGTAAATGTCACCTTCAATTGGATCAAGGCTCACAGTATTCTGTGTGACTTGGACAGAACAGGCAGTAATTTCTCAGAACTCGTCAACAGTGCTAACTCTGTTAAGACTTTATGGCCCATTTTTTGTTTTTGTGTTGGTGTTCCCTTCGAGATGGAGGTCTTATGGAACTCAGGCTGATTTGTGTGACTTACTGTATACTTGAATGTAGTTCAGGGTTACCATGTCCAGTCTGTGATGCTAGGGACCAAACTTAGGGCTTGATGCATGCTAGGCAGGCACTTTACCTACTGAGCTGCATCTTGAAAGGCCATGTTCTTTAATTATTGATTTTCTGGCAAGTGAAATTCAGATATTGGTAGCTTGGTAATAGTTTTGTTCACCATTTTTGCTACATAGAGACTCAAAGAGGTATTTTCATTTTATTTCACATTTCATTCAGTAGTGTGAGGTTGTCACTTAGAAAATTTCACACACACACACACACACACACACACACACACACACACACCCTTTTAATTTTACTTAGAAAATCCGTTAATATAGCTTTCACTTTGAGTAACTCCCCCTTGACCTCTTTTTCTGCCCCAGAAACATAAATAATTTTCTTTTCCTCTAGTGCCAACTTTCTTATTTAAATAATCTGATTTGTGTACTCATAGGCCTTTAATAAAGGTGAAACTCCCTGCTTCTCATTGTTGACATGCAAACAGAATTAAGTCTTTCATTTTCATTTGTGTGTTTAAGCAAAATTTGGATTGGAAATAAGTTTACTTGTTGGGGAGTAGAATAAAGGTAGAGAATAAAGAATATGATGATAAAGAAACCAATAAAATGTGACACATGGAAATTTCTTCCCAGAGATACCTTACAAAAATTAAAGCGTAATCAGTATTTGTTCATTCTTCTTTTTGTTTTGTTTTTAATTTGTGTGTGGAGGCCAGAGGCCAGCTTTCAGGATTAATTCTCTACACAATGTGGGTCCCAGGGACGGAACTCAGGGTATTACACTTGGTAGCAGGTGCATTTGCCTGCTGAGCCATCTAATGGCCTTCAAATTTTTTTCCCCTTTCAATTTCCTAGGTACTCTGGGTGAGAATGAAGCAAGAGCTCATGGACTTTGCTGGTTTTTGGTGGTTTTAGAATTATCTTTCATGTTGTCACTGGGGAGGATGAGAGATCAGACAAACTCCTTACTGCATCCTTGTTTCTGTCCCTTAGACTCCCAAGCCAGAGGGGAGGACACTTACTACAGCTGCTCAGAAGTACCACCAGAAGCTCAGGTAATACAAGCACTTAGGATTCCTTGTTGCAGGAAAAAAAGAAAGAAAGAAAGAAAGAAAGAAAGAAAGAAAGAAAGAAAGAAAGAAAGAAAGAAAGAAAAAGTTTGGCATGTGACAGTGGAAACACAGAACAGAATTTAGCCTGATTGGAAAAATTATTGGCCATGTTCATATGCATTGACATGTTCATATGAAAAAATGCTTTCTGACTTTTTTTTCTTTTTGAGATAGGTTTTTATGTAGCCTAGACTGTCCTCTGATTCATTCTGTAGCTAAGGGTGACCTCAAACTCCTGAACTCTTTACTCTCCTGAACTCTTTACTCCATCTCCCAAGTGTTGGGATTATATGTATGTGCCATCACAGGGACTCTAAAAAGATGCTTGTTGACAGAGGATAAAATGACTACAAAAATTGACAATAAGAGAAAGGGGAGAGAAAACTTCTGAATCATAAGACCTAAAAATAGTAAGTTGAACTGGGCAGTGGTGGCGCATGCCTTTAGTCCCAGCACTCGGGAGGCAGAGACAAGTGGATCTCTGTGAGTTCAAGACTAGTGTGGTATACAAGAGCTAGTTCCAGGACAGCCTCCAAAGCCACAGAGAAACCCTGCCTCGAAACCCCCCCCCCCCAAATAGTAAGTTGACATACATGTGAGGAGAAATGGAACCAGAATCTTTTGAATACCCAAAGCAGACCTACTGTGAATAAGGAGCCACTGGCAAAAGAAACAAAGGGGGAAAAAGAAGGCAAATTGAAAGTGATAATACAAAGAAAAGGAAGTCTTAATGAGAGTAGGGAAAGAGAAGTGTGTGTGAAGTCTAAATTGTTTGGTTGCCCTTTAGAGGGGATGGAGGAGAAACAAACTATAGAGCAAGTGAAAATAATCACTCCTCATGGGATCCAGGTTGGAATGTAAAGTTTCTTTTTTCTTTTTCTTTCTTTCTTTTTTTTTTTTTTTTGGTTTTTTGAGACAGGGTTTCTCTGTGTTGCTTTGGGGCCTGTCCTGGCACTCGCTCTGGGGAGCAGGCTGGCCTCGAACTCACAGAGATCCACCTGCCTCTGCCTCCCGAGTGCTGGGATTAAAGCGTGCGCTGCTGTCACCACCCGGCTGGAACAAGGTTTAGTAATAATAATAAAGAGACAAGCAAACCTCAGCACCTCATGACATGAATGTAGCCAGTCTTGGGGTAGAAGAGATAGGAGATTGTGAGATCATAACCCACATTAATCCGGGGAATGAGGCCATAGGTTCAGGGAAAGAAGATGGCACATTAGTCTTTGACAACAAAAGGAGAAATTTAGGAAGGAGCAACAAAGACGAATGCTTATGAAAAGCATGACTAACCCAGAAATTGGTAGTGAAGAGGTCATGGAACCCTCAGGTTATTTGTGCATCTTAAGTGTTCATCCTTGTAAATCTTTGTGCTTTGTGATTTTCCTGGCTGGTCTTTGCTTTTCTTAGGCTAACAAATGAAGAGAGAGCCTCCTATTCTCATGCCTCCTTTTCTCACCACTTTCCTTTGTTACGTCTTTCTCCTTGGGTGCAATTCTTGATATTTTGTTTGACTTGATAGCCTGCATTACTTTTCTTTGCCTCTGGTTTGTTCCCTAGCAGATGTGGGCACCTCAGCCAGCAGCAGAGAAGGGTGCAGGGAAACCACAGAGAAGCCCCTTCTGATGCCCCAAGGAGCAAGCAAACCCCATCCAGGCTCCAGGAACACCACAAAGCAATATGAAACCTGTTCATGAGAGGAGTCAGGAATGCCTTCCACCAAAGAAACGAGACCTCCCTGTGACCAGCGAGGATATGGGGAGAACTACCAGTTGCTCCACAAACCACACACCCTCCAGTGATGCCTCTGAATGGCCCCGAGGGGTCGTGGTGGCTGGGCAGAGCCAGACGGGAGCCAGAGTCAGCCTCGGGGGTGATGGAACTGAGGCCATCACTGGTCTGACAGTAGATCAGTATGGCATGCTGTATAAGGTGGCTGTGCCACCTGCCACCTTTTCACCAACTGGCCTCCCATCTGTTGTGAACATGAGCCCCTTACCCCCCACGTTTAATGTAGCGTCTTCACTGATTCAACATCCAGGAATCCACTATCCCCCAGTCCACTATGCTCAGCTCCCATCCACCTCACTGCAGTTTATTGGGTCTCCTTATAGCCTTCCTTATGCTGTGCCACCTAATTTCCTACCTAGTCCCCTCCTTTCTCCTTCTGCCAACATTGCCACCAGTCACCTTCCACACTTTGTGCCATATGCCTCACTCCTAGCAGAAGAAGCTACTCCTCCCCCCCAGGCAGCATCCCCAGCCCAGCCATTTAACAAATCCTCCTCTGCCACCTCCCCACCCGGCCAGTTACCACATCACTCAAATACTCAACCACTGGATCTTGCTCCAGGCCGGATGCCCATTTATTATCAGATGTCTAGGCTACCTGCTGGATATACCCTGCATGAAGCTCCAACAGCAGGTACCAGCCCTGTTCTTACCCCTCAGGAGGGCCAGTCTGCTCTGGAAGCAACTGCTGCCAATGGACAGAGACAGCGAGAGCGAAATGTAGTAAGACGAGAAAGTGAAGCCCTTGATTCCACCAGCAGCAAGAGTGAAGGCCAAGGAATGGTGCCAGTGGTAGAATGCTTGGTGGATGGACAGTTGTTTTCAGGTTCTCAGACTCCACGAGTCGAGGTGGCAGCGCCAGCACACCGAGGGACCCCAGACACCGACCTTGAGGTCCAGCGGGTAGTTGGCACTTTAGCTTCTCAGGACTATCGTGTGGTGGCAGCTCAGAGGAAAGATGAACCCAGCCCTCTTAACCTATCCCATCACACCCTTGACCATCAGGGTGAGGGACGAGGGTCAGCCAGGAATCCTACAGAACTGGTGGAGAAAAATCAGGCCCGTGTGTTCTATCCTCAGTCCCATCAGGAACCAGTAAAACACAGACCTTTACCCAAAGCAGTGGTTGTAGCCAATGGCAACCTGGTGCCCACTGGAACTGACCCTAGCCTACTGCCTGTGGGCTCAGAGATCCTGGTGGCATCAAGTCTGGACATGCAGGCCAGAGCCACCTTCCCAGACAAGGAGCCAACACCACCTCCCGTTACCTCCTCCCACTTGCCCTCCCATTTCATGAAAGGCGCCATCATTCAGCTGGCTACAGGAGAGCTGAAGCGGGTAGAGGACCTCCAAACCCAGGATTTTGTGCGCAGTGCCGAAGTGAGTGGGGGGCTGAAGATTGACTCTAGCACAGTCGTGGACATTCAGGAGAGCCAGTGGCCTGGATTTGTTATGCTGCATTTTGTGGTTGGTGAACAGCAGAGCAAAGTGAGCATTGAGGTGCCCCCTGAGCACCCCTTTTTTGTATATGGCCAGGGTTGGTCGTCCTGCAGCCCTGGGCGGACTGCACAACTCTTCTCTCTGCCCTGTCATCGGCTACAGGTGGGAGATGTCTGCATCTCTATCAGTTTACAGAGCTTGAACAGCAACTCAGTTTCTCAGGCCAGCTGTGCTCCCCCAGGCCAGCTGGGTACACCCCGAGAAAGGCCTGAGAGGACAGTATTGGGGCCTAGAGACCTATGTGACAGCGAGGGGAAGATCCAATCTTCAGGAGAGGGTTCCCGGGTGGGAGAGCCCTCCCAGCCTGAGCCTGGTGCTCAGGCCTGCTGGCCAGCCCCAAGCTTCCAAAGATACAGCATGCAAGGGGAGGAGGCACGGGCTGTGCTGCTCCGTCCTTCTTTCATTCCACAGGAGGTAAAGCTGTCCATTGAAGGGCGTTCCAATGCAGGAAAATGAACCTCTTTCCCAGCCCAGGACTGGGGCTTTATCCCCAGAGGTGAGCCTCACCATGAGCAGCCAGAGGATTTGCACATGCCAAGCAGAGAAAGGCTCTCTTGGCAGTGAGATTTGAGGGAAATAGGAGGCATGAAGACAGCCTCCCAAAGCAGGATCTGTTGCTCATTAATTACCCCATGGCATCCTTTCAGGACAGCCCTAGGGGGTGCTGAGATGAGGAAGAGCAGGCTTGGAGCAAGAAAGGGTGGGAGTGCACATAGGATAAGAAACATTCCAAAATCAGGGCCTCCCTGTTTTTTTTTTTTTTCCTACTCATTCCTGGCTCCTACAAAGGAAAGTACAGGCTTTGGGAGCAGGTGGCAGAGGGAGCAAAGAAAGAGCCAAAAATGATCCACAGCTTATAGTAGCAGTAAAACTGTTTTTCTTTCTTTTTTCCTTCTCCCTCCCCCCTTTTGTGGTGGGAGGGCAGGAGGCTCAATGGTTGAAAATGAGAAGGTTCCCCACCCAGAACTCTTCTTGTAAGAGACGTGCACTTTAAAGGGTGATTTTGTTACAGATGTTTATGGCTGGGTTTGGGGTGGGGGAGCACCATGATCTACAGAACTCTGCTTGATTCTTTGCTTCTGCCCATTCCCATCTCACCTCACCATTCCTCTGTAAGGCTTTCTAGCAGTTTAGGGGCCAGAAGAGAGAGGAGAAATACCTTCAGGGCTGAGAATGAAGGACTGCCTTGCCAGGAACCCAATCGGAGGTTTTGGAGAAAAGACCTGATTGCTAGATGATGGGCTCTAGGCAAGGCTTTTGAAAGGAGGCTAACCTATTGAAACTCCCATTCAACATGTCAGGCCTGCTTTGACATTTCACTGAGTCTCTAGTAGTAATGTTGGAGAGACCTGGAGGACCTTTTCCCCTAGGCACCTACACTCTTCCATTGTCTGTCTATGTTGTGCCTAAGTGCCTGTGCTGCTCCCACCCTTCTGCTGCCCCGACCTCTGCATGGTGTCTTGATCTGGGCCTCACGTGTAGCTGCACTGCCTTTGTCCACAAAGACCTCCAGTTTTTGGTGTATAAGGGTCTCTGGTTTCCCTATCAGCTATAATTTTTATATTTAGAAACTCAAAATCATGTCCCCTTCCACTGGCAGCAACATAATGGAGAAACAAAAAAGAAACCATGCCCTAGACTGGGTTTTCCCATTCCAGTGGTTTTACTTGGTCCCTTCCCATCTCAGTCCATTGCCTCTCAGCAATTGGCATCTCCAAGCTGTGCCCTTCCACCATCAGCTCTGAAAGTCTACGATAGTCCTTGTAGCATCTTAGCAGATGTTTCCTTGTGTGGCGGTGGACTCTTCTACAAAGAGTATTTTCTATCTGGGTTATATTTGCTGCCATATTTCTTAAACCCACATTTCACCCACAACTTGGAGTGTCAACTTGGAGTGTAGGATTCCATTGGATATTAAGATTTAGAGCCTCCCCCCGCGCACCCCGACCCCCCGCCCCCGCCAACTTTCAGGTGGTTGAGTATTTTGTGTGTGTGTGTGTGTGTGTGTGTTTAATTTTTTTTAAGGGGGGAGTGTGTGGTTCTTTAGACTCTTGAAGGCAACTCAGGGTATTGTCCACCCAGTTCTCTAGTTAAACTTCTCCCAGAGTATGATTGTGGCATTTCCTTCATAGATGGACTTGGACTGGCTAAGGCTTGTCCATCCTATCATCAGGAGTCCCACACTTCTGAGGTATGAGCAAAACTTAAGGCAAGTCTTGTGATCTCTCGCTCTTTCACTTCCTCCCCAGCTGCCAAATGGGGATAAATAATCTTACCTACCTCCTGGGGGGAGGGGAAGTTCTGAGAATGGAGTCATTCTTAGTGTTCAGGTGCTAAAGGTTGTTCTCCTTGGGAACAGAGTGACAGAAGCTGGCTGGCTTGCTACAAACCCTACATTCTGTTTCAGACCTTGAGAGCAAATACCTGGTCGGCAAGCTTTCAGGGGAGCATCCTAAGAAAGCTGTTTGGCCCGACAAGTACTTAAGTCTCTGAGTTTGTCAGTCAGACACCATCCTTGTATGCAGTGGAGATCACGTCCTTTCCCTTCTCTGCCCCCATTCTCTGATTGCTGCTTCTCTGGCTTATTTCCTACAGTGGGGGCCTGTGGGGTTGAGTCTTGAGGAATTCTCTCAAATGAGAGCTGTAGGAGAAGGCCTCTCCTCTCTGACTGTTTGATGAACAACTCATTCCTAGGGATTATTGTATGCATGTATTTCTCAAAAGCCCCCTTCCTCCCATGAAGGTTCACCATGGGAATTTTGTGACATGCACTGTAGATGCTCAAGAAATGTCTACCAGGGATACCACTGAGCTTCCTAAGTGGGGTCAGCATGCATCTGACTGTAGTTGAAGTTAAATCACTCTCTACTAAGACTAATTGTAGCTTTCTAGCCTGGTAATGCTCGCTGAATCCTGAAAAAAGAAATTGTTGAGGACTTTGACAAACTGGGCACTGACCTATCTGCTGTGGTTCCTTTTCTATCCCTATCTGATAAAATAATGATAGCAACTCCCTTAATATGGTGCCATGCATTTGTAATGTGCTTTTGCTGAGCTGAGAGCTACCTTCCCTGAAATGTGCACCCCTAGAAAAGAATGCTTGTCAGAGCTGTGGCAGTGCTTACCCTTACCCTAAGTGTGTAAGAGAGGTGTCTTACAGTGAGCATTTCAGTGGTTAGCTGTCAGCTTTTGGGGACTGGGCAGTGATAGGACATTCCAGGAACTTGGAGAAAGTTCTAAAACTGAACAGAAGTGCATATGCCAATTTAGAAGGGAACTTGGTAAAGGGTAATTAGTAATCTGAAGATTTAGATCATCCCTCTCAAGACAGGAAGTGGGGAAGGGGCTTGGGCCCTCAGAGCTGAGTGCTTGTCCCTGAGGGAGGAGCCAGAGAAGGATAGATTGACCCCTCTTTACACTTAGGGTCCCATTTGATTCTAACACCATGGGCTGGGTCTGTGCTGCTTTAGCCACTCCTGTTGTCTGCTCCCTGTCCTGCCTATTGCCCATTATCGCTCCTGTCCATTCTTAACCTGTGCTCTGCCAGTGTTACTGTGTAGCACAGTAGTGTTGAATAGGGATGGTCTGCATGCTGTGTTTGGGCTGGTAGATCTAAAAAGATGTGGCTTCAGTGCTGTCAGGAGCCCATTGGCTCCAAAAGTTTGCCTGTCTCGAGGGAGAAACAAGCAGGTCCTACCAGAGACTGTTTTTTCTCTTCTTTATATGGTACTTTATAGCCTATTTCAAAACAAGAGGAACCACATTAGGGCTTGAGCCAGGATCCTAGTGTCATTCATCTAGCCCCATATTCTGGGGTTGAGAAAGAGTTTGAAGTTTAGCTAAAATAACTCCTCCAGTTGGGTTTAATTTTCTTTTTTCCTTTACCAGTGGGTATCATAGGCATTTTAAGTGAACAGGATGGTGGCATGATTTAAACCTGCATTGAGTAGGCATATTGAGTGGTCACACTGGCATGAGCTGAAGGTAAACATTGGGAAAGGCTCAGTCAGGCCTTTTTGTAAAGATAACCAGATTAATTGAATTAATTGAATTGGCCATGGGAGATTAGGTCACAGTCCTAGAAGCAAACAGGACAAAGGCCAAGTTTAAGAGAGGTGTGTTGACCTCCTAGGATTAAGTTTACTAAACTACACTGAAGCTATAGTACTTTCTAGATCAGAAAAGTTATACACTACAGTTGAAGAGCTGAATTCTACTATAGATGGATGTTGTTAGCCTTTGCTTGGAAGCCTTCACCTTCTAGCTTCCCCAAGGTTGGAAAGGTCTCCCACATTATGCAATAATAAAATAGGCATCTGGGTCTTTGCAGCTGTTAGTTGTTTTTTTTTTTTTTTTAGCTTAGAAATAAAATGTGTGGCTTGCCCTGTTGAGCCTCCTCAGCAGGAATAATAGTAATAAATGCACTTTTCACATTAAAGGTTTCTTTAGTAGTTCTCCTGTTAAGCCTAGGATCTTCCCCTAGTAGACTGCAAACTCAACAGTCTGTGATCCCAAAGCCATTCCACTGCAAACGCCTAGCAGTAAAGATGGCCTCAGACTAGGTTCCTGTCTGCAGTGTGTGTGGCAGCAGCCCACGTGCCTTTACCTAATGTCAGACTTGCAAGCGTTTAGCTGTCTTTATGTTAGGGGGGTCTTAAGTACTTCAGAGAGAGAGAGCAGATAACAGTGGTTTTATGCCCACCTCACCCCCTGCCAGGGACTTGGTGTGTTGTTGTAAACTGTGAGGGTTGGTGAGCTGCTGGTATTGCTGAAGGCAGGGTGGACCCCTCGTTTGCTTCATATGTGCACTCAGTGAATTGGATTGGGGAAGAGACTGACCCTACTCTGGCTAACTTTAAGTATTAAAATACGGCTATCCTCTACATACTTCCTAGTCACACAGGATCCCTGTAGCCAAAACAGTATATGTTCCAGCTGCAGAGAGCAGACTGCTCTCAGCTTGCACAGCACCTTAGGGGAGGGAAGAATATATGAATAGGTAATAGGGTGGAGAAAGGATGGGAATTTTGTCATCCAGGTGGCTTTAGGGTCCTAAGGAGTAGAGAAGGATGGCACTGGGGAGGTCTGGATGGATCTGATTTGTGTAGGAGTTCCCTGTAGATAAATTACTGATCCCCCCAACCACTATCCCCAGTATGTAATGGCTGAATTAATATGTAATCAACTGCATTGTAACTAAAGCCTTAGAACTAGTCAGGTGCTCCTCCCACCCAATACCATTTCTTACCCTCTAATCCTACCTGATCTTTAACAAAGCATTAATAATTCTAAGGATAATCTCTATTTTGTTGTGCTTTTTTGTAACTGTTTTAAATAAATCAATTTGTACTGTATATTTGTACTTTTGTGAGATCCTTTTTGCTGTTTTACCATTTTAAGTCTCTGTACTTGGCTACACACAGATTGTATTTTTATTGTTAATGCTCTTCTTATGGATACCTGCATTTAACTTGTGGACTATGTAAACACAATATATATCAATATCTATATATCTATATATCAATCTATATAAACTACTAGCTTTTCCTTTTGGTGTTTGCGCCTTTTTCCTATCTCAGTTTGATGGGTGGCCATTGGGCAGGATCACTTGGACTAAAGATTGTGTGGTCATTGGTAAACTTTGCAAATGGTGGGAGTTACCTGAACCGTGGCGTGGATTTGAGTTTGGGAAATCTACCTGTAGACTAAGGTTGGCAGAATCAATCAGTAGGACCTATAGGTGTCCTCACTGCTGGTCTTTCCACCGGTCCTTTACTCTGGCATACATACTGCCACACACTGCTGAAGTAACCCCAATCATAGCCACTGCTTCTGACTTAGAAATTTTGCCACCAGTAAATAGCAAAAAGGAATGTACTTATTTACCGTGTACAACAAACTATCCTAAGTGCATTATCAATCCTCTATTGCTATTATTAGTACCATTTGGTGGCAGGAATTAACGGAACTGGCTCAAGTTACACAGTAATGGTACAGTGGATTTTTTGGTTGTTTTTGAGACAGGGTCTCTCTGTAGAGCCCTGGCTATCCTGGAACTCACTGTGTAGATCAGGTTGGTCTCAAACTCTGAGAAACACCTGTTTCTGTCTCCCAAGTGCTGGGATAAAAGGTATGCATCACCTTACCTGGCTTGTTGTGTGGTTTTGGTTGGTTAGTTGTTTTTGCAATGGTAGAGATCAAACCTGGGGGCCCCAGCCTGTTAGGCAAACAACCACTGAGCTGGGGTTTTGAATCTAATTCCTGAATTTGTACTAATGTTGAAGGTTGTGGAAATAACATAGCCACGTAAAGTGCCAAAGTATTCCTTAGGACAGAGTGCATCCAGTTACTTGAAATATGGAGCTCTGTGAAAAGCATTTGGATCAATTAAGTATTTAATTTTTCAATGTATTTCTTAAAAGATTATTTTCCAGCCCATCAGGTAGAACTTAACTCTAGTTTGTTGAGAGTTCTTTGACACTTTTAAAACAGCCTTAGACCTACAGAGGTGGGAGAGGAGTCCAAATGTCTGTTACATTGGAAAAGGTCCACATTCCTGGCATAGTTATTTTTCTGGCAGCAATTTAACTAGGGCACATCCTTCTGGACCTCAAAATCTATAAATATCCAGACTGTACATAACCTTTGATGCAAGCTAAGGAAAGTTCTATGCTTGTTCTTGTATCAGCACAGAAACAGAAATTGAGCAGCTCTTATCTCCTCCATAGCATGGTAGTCAAACTGCAAGAGTGGGTGTTGTTCTGCTTTAGTCTTTATCACAGTTGACTTGATCTCACCTATAGTCCTCTGCTTAGATAGCCTAGGTTGAGGGTTCTGCTTCAGAAAAAAGAACAAGCCACCAGAAGTCACTAGCTGAAAATTCCCATCAAGTTCTCTCCTAGCACACTTCATTGGATGAAACAGAAATGAGACAAAAGAGCCAAGGGCCAGTAAAGATAAAATTAATTTATTTGCTCTCACAGCTTCGTGGACTGTACTGGGGTCCTACAGTCCCATAACCCTGGCCTGCCACAATGGGCTGAGGAGTCCAGGTTTCTGGAGTGCCTGCTCCCTTGTCTAGAGCTGCCTTGAGCTGGGTCCATCCTGACCCCATCATGGTCCCACAGGCAGAGAGTGCACAGGTTTCCCTGCAACCAACCCGGGCCTGCCTGTGGCAGCAAGGACTGTAGCCTCCTGGGTGACAGCAGCACTGATCCCTGTGGGCTGGAGTGGGTGGGAGGTCAGGCAGGAGGGTGTGGTTCAGTGCAGAGAGCTGTTGTTCTGTTCTTCAAAGGCCATTTTCCCCAGAAGCTGGCTGTCCAACTCTACCCCACTCACAGGCAACTGGAAGAAGTTCATTTCTGCTGCTAAGGCTGCCATGGCAGAAGGGTCCTGACCAAACTGAGCTCGCAACATCATGTCCATTTTTTCCAGTCTCCTCTTGAGCCTCTTAGCCTCTCGCTCTCGGATGAGTCGGGCCTGCCGCTTCTCTGGGGTTTCATTGGCTCGTTTTAGCCTCATGGCCTCACGGTCTCTCTGTAGCCGGCGAGCTCGCTGCTCATCTGTCTCCTGCATGCGTTGCAGGCGCTTGGCTTCACGGTCCCTCATGCGTCTTACCTCCCGCTCCTCTGGGGTCTCATTGTCTCGCCGACTCTTCTTGGCTGTGCGTTCTCGTTCCAGTCGCTGTAGCCGTACTTCCAAAGGTTCATTCTGTCGACGTAGGGCCCACTTGCGTACATTGGGGGTCTGTGTTTCCAGCAGCTTTCGGTAGGCAGCACAGTTGTTGCATACAAGCAGAATTCCAGCAGGGTATACTGGAGGACTACAGGTAATGTCCTTTCCTTCAGCACTGGAGGGGCCCTCACTGTGGACTTGGGGTAGGGATTCCATATTAAGTACTTCAGGAAGTTTCTCACTGGGAAGCCAAGATTTTTGATGGTTAGTATTTCTGTGTAGCAAGCCTCAGGTACCCAGGTAAATGACTTATCCCATAACCACTAGGCAAACTGTTCCAAGTCCACTATTATGAGGGTTGGTTTGAATGCCTGGAAGACCCCTTCTCTTCTTCAGACTAGGATGTCTACTAAATTTTAAGGCCCACCTTGAATTAGCAACTGATCCACCTGCCATTGAAACCTACCCAGAATAACCCCTACAAGGCAAAGCCAGAAAGGCAGTGTCTTGTAGGTGCTGAGCAGGGCTGGGCCTACTGTGTGTATGAAGGGGCCTGGAGGTGGAGGTTTCCTTCAAGCAGGTACAATTCTCTGCTTTACCTCCTTCTACCTGGCAATGCCCACAAGGAAAAGTAGCTTGTGTATTGTACAACCAAGGCAATGCGATGAGGACAGTGTTTTAGTCTTCCTAGAGCACGGCAGTGTGTCCTCACACCAGGATTCTCTCAGCATACTGCAACTTCTGCTTGCTTTATCATGAATGTTCTTGCGTGTCTCTGTATCACTTTCTAGTTGGAAATACTCTGATAGGTAAAGAAAAGCAATTCATTTCCCTTGAGAGATATCTAGTGCATACTGCCTAGCCTATCATCTCCTGGTCTCATTACTTGTATGTCCAGATTTGTTCTATCAGCTCTTTTGCATTACTTATTACTAGTCTTTCTTTTAACCTGGGAAAACAGCATCTTATACCCAGTAACTTGCTCTTAGAACAAGGTTAGGTATTCTACTAACCTGTTAAAAGTGGCATGGCTAGTAAAACGGGCTCCACACACAGCACAGTTAGACCTCTGGTCTTCCGAATGGATAAGGAGGTGGCGACCCAAGGACCCTGGGGAGCTAAGGGCCCGTCCACAGACGGGGCACATGTAACTCTTGGCACTCACCACTGCTGCAGTATGCTGTAAAACAAAGCCTTAACCTGTTAATTTTGTGTTACCTCCAGGACAATCTGCACCCTTTCCTTTTTTTTCCCTTAGAATGAGAGACTTGCAACTATTTGTTTAGCCATTCAGACCACTGCTCATTTTTTATTATCATGAATTCTGACCATATTCTGGGACATATTGAATGGCTTGAAGAATAATGGGGTTCCAGAGTGCTTTAGAGCCTGAGAGAGATGCATGCTCTTGATAGTTTTGGCTTTCCTGGTTCATATTGTGTAGTTACACGTGCATTTTAAGAGTACAATGAAGGAGCTGGATAGGAGCAGTAGTAGTAGTAGTAGTATGTAACAGGTATTATGCCCTGCCTTTCCTCAGTCCTCTGAAGAAATTCCTTTTTTGTTGTTGGTTTTCAAGAAAGGGTTTCTCTGTATAACCCTGGCTATCCTGGAACTCACTCTATAGACCAGGCTGGCCTCAAACTCAGAGATGCACCTACCTCTACCTCTTAAGT